AATTTGGTTAAGGAATTGACTTTAATTGTCTCTTTGACGAGTTCGTAGATTGCTGCGAAGAATGGCGATTCTCACTGATGATGCCGACTACGATACCGGCGAAGCGTCTGACAATGTACCAAGTTTACCGTCTGATACCGAGACTTATGCTAATTCTATGGCCGAGGACTTTGTTCTTCTACGTAGCCTTGACAACAAAAACAAGTTGCGAAAACGAGTTCAACCCATTCCTATAACTCGAAAGAAAACTGCGACCATTCCGAGGGCCACATCATCTTAGTCTTCATATCTTCGATTCGCATAGCCTTGCTTCCCAAAAGGTATTCCCATCCAGGATGAACTGCAGTTTCGACCTCGCCTAGGTCTTGGCAACAAACCAGAAAGACTGGAACCATGACAGTATAGCGTATAATCTCGAAACGTGCCCTGTGACCCAAGCACACTTGTGGAAATGTGACCTAGAGTGAAAACCAAATTTTAGGCTATTCGAGCTTCATCCTATTTTTGGCAGTACTTCTTGTTCCCTCTCTCAGCCACAGGTTAGTTCTACTTAATTTCCTACACTCATTTCTTTTAATCAAAGTGTTATCTGTTTTGTTTATTTCTGTAGTTTCCCTAATTTTTTGCTTACTTGTATAGTCCCCATATACAGCTAAGCTTTTAGACTTAGCCCATTCTATCTGGTGTCTGGTATGGGCTATATATTCGGCCAGGTCCGACTTTTGCACTAACGAACCTTTGTAGGCTTTTGTTGTTCAGATTACCTCTTATGTATTGGTCGACAGGTCTCCCACATATATACACTACCACATGAACACTTAAATTTATATCAGCCTGATTTGGAAAGTGGGTCAGAAATTTTCCGAAAAGATGGCATTGCTGTGAAAAGTGTTACTTTTACATTATAAATTGTCCCGGTATCCCACTTATTAAGTAGTTCATCTATCATTATAGAAAGCTGCCTATCTTGCCCCAAATAGATGTTTCCCTCCATCCTATTCGCTAGTATTTTAAAGTAATTCTTAATTAATTCTAATGGTAATCATTCGCAATAGTAACCAGTTCCTGCCCCAATGGTTAACCTCTGTATGACGCAGGCTTTTTATTGACATGGATTTCTTAACCTCTACCTTAACCCCATGAGTATGGATTAAAACGAAATCTAAAAGGAGCCCCGCATTTGTGGGTTTCCCATACACATCCCTACCCATTTTGTTTTCCTCTTTGCTTACTAGGACACCTAGAAAATGTAAATTATTATCCTTTTCTAGTTCCATGGTGAACTTGATACTCCTGTCGATTCCATTCATCAAAGTTAGCAATTTTCCTAGGCTTACCTTGCCTCTGTGAAGCTCTGGCACCCATGGCCATGTAATGGAATGGAAAGCTTTGACCCTATATCGAATCTCATTGGGGGTGTTGGGGGTATATGAGTTCAAAACTAGAGTTTAGTCTATTACATATAAGATAAACTTTTTTTGAAAATAATATTAAGCTTATATCATTGTAAGAAAATTCTACTATTAGTCCTTAATTCACTTTGTGACATCTATTGCGACTAAATTCTTATTAACCGAAGAAATTCACTAAATATATTAAATAGGCCTCTTCTCTGTTATGCTCGATTTTGGGTGGTCCTAGTACCTCTGATTCGTTCATTCAAATCGGTCGCTATTAGGTGCCCATTTGGGCAGAATGCGTTTAATTGTATTAGTTAATTAAACACTTAGTCTAGAATTTAGATTCCACGGCTAGCTTCAGACTACTCTCACATTTGAGAGTAATATCTAATTAAATTACCAAGCTGATGCCAGACTCAAAGCGACAGATGAAGGCTTTAGTGATGCTGGCGAGAAACTTCAAGCCACTCATCGTAGACATGAAGGCCAAGATATTATACCCACTGCTTTTGTAGCAGTCTCCTTTCTCTGTATAGACGGGGTTTGATCTTGTTTTCGCAACTTGGTCATGTTGTCAGAATGACCAAGATGAACGCACATAGGATGATCTTCGTTCGTCTCCTTGACGAGTTACTGCTTGGTGCTGAGACCAGCAAGGCTAACTGATGATGCCGACTGCAATGAAATGTCTGGAAATGTTTCAAGTCCCCAGTCCAAAGCTAACATATATCATCAGCCCAGCTTTACAATACGACAAAGCTATACAAATTAGGTCAAACCACTTCAAAAGTTTAGGTAACGCAAATTAACTAGGTTACTATCAGTCTAAAAGGAGAATTTATCGTATTGCCATAGTTTAACTAACATGAGTCAAGCCAATTTACAATCGAAATTCTTTTTGAACATAGTTAAATTGTTGGAGCATGCTAATAAGTCTTACCTTCCAAGCCTTTTGGAAACATCCCAGCAAGACGTTGTATGCAGACCTGTAGTTGAACGTCCCAAATGCGTAATACCTTGTCCCTCGAGAAACTAAGAAGCCTGCCACGGCCACGATGGAATTGTACCGCCACTACTGATGTCATGTGACCCCGCAGGAGCTATTCAACCAAATATATATCACATTTTTTATCAGCTACCTGACGAATCGCTTAACATCAAACTATGATTATCATACCTATTTATGAATGTGTTTGTTAGATTTGTCATATGTAGCAAATAAAATGTACTCTTAAGGGCGATTAAAGTTGGATAAAAAGCATGTTGGGAAACAACTTTATTCATATAACATCATGCATATTAGTTGGTCCTCCTGTAATCTAGATTGCTAAAGCCGCAAGCAAAATATTGAGCGATAGGTAAAGAAGAGTTTACGTACGCTTCATGCCTAAGAAGC